ACCCCACAACACACACACACACACAACACACACACACCCCCAGGAGCTCGGACTCGACCCCGCACCTCAACTAGATGAGTACACACACACACACACACACACACACACACACACACACAACACACACACACAACACACACACACACACTTTAGTTAATATCTTTATTATGCACCCATACCATCCTGTGGGCGGTAGTCAAAAGATACAAGGTCATAATGGGTCCCGTGACTGGACCCCAAAGTTATGATAGCTGAACTAGTTACAAAGGTAAGAACTCCAGGTAGATTGGTCACTATCATGCAGTTACAAAGGTTTAAAGAATCAGCATCACTCCTATAACTGGTTACAGTCATGAGCAAATTCCCAAAAAAAATTTGATCCACTGTAGCCCCAACCCCCTGGTCACAATTGTAATGATTTATAAAATTTCAAATATTAAGTGGATCATACACCCCACTAGTGCGCGTGCACACCTACACCACGGGGGGTGCACGCACGGACACGGAAAACGAGGTAAAAAAATTTGTTTAAAAACAAGGAAGCACACCCCCAAAACACACACAAACCCCACAAACACCCACACCCCCCAACCCAAAACCCACACACACACCCCCACACACACCCACACCCCCACAACCCCCCCACCACCCCCACATACCAAAAACCCAAAAATTCACACCCCCACACAAAACCCACCACAAACCCCACACACCCCGCACACCCCGCACACCCCAAACACGCACACACACATTGTAATGCAAATTTTTTTAAATAGGGAAAGTCGGGTATTCTTTCCCGAATGGTCGGGGAATATACCACTGTGATAAAATACTTTTTCCATTTTTTTGAACAAATTTTTCTGGGAGTTGTTTCTAAATTCTTAATTTTTATCACACCCAGTACATAAGAACCCCAAGGTGTGACAAATTTCCCTTGGGCAAAAATTTAAAATTTTGTTTGGTTTCTTTTGGGGGGTGGTGATTTTAAACCCGCCCGGGGGTACTTGTAAAACCCCCCCGGGGAAAACGGGGGGGAGTAGTGCATCCAAAAGTCTGCTTATCTTGTTGGTGATCAAGACATGGGGGGTCCCCCTGCATGATGGAATGATGATGGTTTGGGCTGACTTGTTCAATTTTCCCCAAGTCTTAAGTCAATAAAGTTCATTTGAAGTTATTTTCGTATTATTGTTCTCAAACTGCTAAATGACAACCCAAGATTGTAATCTACCCCCTCTTTGAAAGCATACAGCTTAGCCAATTTATCAGTTCTATCATGCATCTGAAGACCAATGTGAGATGGAATCCACAGCATGTGCACTCTGACTCCACTGTCCACAATCTTACCATACCTATGTCTGGCTTCTGACACAAGCATGCCACACTTTATACTTGAGTTGAGAGCATTTATGGATGACAGAGAATCAGTTACAATTAAAGTGTCAACAAAAGATACATGGACACATTTGAGTGCAAGGAGTATGGCAAACAGTTCTGTTTGAAGGATAGAGGCCCAGTTATTGATGCGTGCTCCAATTTCTTTAAGAGAGCCATCACTCTGTGTGACAACAGCAGCACTACCAGCTGCACCAGTGGACTGGTGAACAGAACCATCGATGTTAATAATTTGTGAAAGAGTGTTCTGTGTGACTAAGTTATCATTACAGCTTAAGGCATCATGTTTGGCTTCAAGACGAAGCTTTGGTTGTGATTTAAGAAGAGTTTTGGGGAGAAATGGAGGAATGGTAGTTTGGAATGGGGTAATATCCCATGGAGCAGGGAAGTGTCTCTGTTGTCTAACTTGATATAGATCATGTAGCTGGTTCATGCGGAGGTCGGTTCCAGTTTTTTCGATCCATCTGGAAGGATGTTCACCAGTGCTGAGGAAAGTTTGGAGGGCTTCTGTGCAGGGGTTTGAATGGGATAGCCTAAGCATATTGACCCAATAGGATATTTCTTTCAGTAACACGATCTCTAAATGCTTTGGAATATTAAGTTCGTTCCGGCATATTTAATATTTTGGCAGTACGAGGGCATCCTAGGTGATCCTCATTGCTTCGTTTTGCAAGTTTTTTCCAGCCCTCCAAGGCTTCCAGTCAGACACGAGTGCGCAGTAGTGGCGCAGCATAATCAACCAATTGCTTAATATAAAATTAAGATAATTCATTTTCACAATTTTAAAACATTAGCACCATACCTGGGATGAAAAACCTTGCCACAACTCTAAAGTGCCCTCAGCCTTTCTTTTGTATTGGAGACAAAGTTTCCGTTCCAAACAAGGTCCAAGTGTGTACCGCAAAGCTAGATACCTGTATTGCTTACATATTTCTAGAGAGACCCATCATGCAATGGATCTGACGAAAACTGTGCCTCTATGCCGAGGAGGACGCCTGTTGAGTGAGCTTTGTTTTATCCCCTGAGATTATTAACCCCAGGTACTGACACGTGGCTCGTACATGATAAGAATGTTTTGGGTGTTGGAGAACTCGGTGGTTGTGAATCATTATGTCATCCGCAAACTAACCATATAATGATGGGGCTGGCTAGGCATGGGATTAAATTAAGTAAGGCATTATCAAAATGTAGAAAGAGGGGGATAAGCAACCTCCCTGTGGGGTTTCTAATTTCAAAATCTTTGTTACAATTCTATCTTTAGTTTTTACACTTTCTGTTGGACAGTGTATCCTTTAATCAGCGGAGGAAGCCCATCCTCCCAATCCATTCTGGCAAGTCCTAAGTTTACCATGTCGGGCTGGCTTAAATCAAAAGCGGATCTTAAGGTCAAGGAACGTAGTGTATGAGCTGTTGGTGCAGATGTGAGAGAAAGGTGGTAAATAATTGCCAGATGATGCACACTCCTTCCATGCAATGAGCATGCAAACCGGGGTGACATGAATCCTTAATTTGTTGCTTTTAAGGCCGATTTAAGAAACTCATCCTTTCGAATGTTTTACACAAGCAGCTAGTAAGGGATATTGGGCGAACATGCGAGTTTTTGCTGATAGGGGCTTCGGAAAATGGGAATAATGAGGCTATTGGTTCCATGATTTGGGGAGCTCCCAGTGACAAACTCATGTTATATAATTCAAAAAAGGATTACCTGGGTACTCGACACCAGCTATCTGAGTTATGTTGTAGTAATACCATCCTCCACCAGGCGACGTGGAGTGGCCTTAGTTAGTGCTGCCATCAAGGTTCATAATTAGTGAAAAGGGTAATGTTGCTGTCATCTGCCTTTGCTGAGCATAAAGCAAACAAGGTCTCTCCCTTGCATCATATTTGTCCATTAATTTCGCGCCTGTGTGGTTACTGGGAAGACTGTCATAGCTAGATTGTAGCAGCCCAAGCACTGACTAACTCATTGCCCTATGTAAGGGATGAGGTGTGCGCGATTGCCAGTGCTGTTACCCTTAATTCTATTTAGTCCCTCCATGCCCGGGCCGAAGTGGGGGTGAGCATTGAGACATTGACAAATTGTTCCCAGTCTGTTTGCCGCAGCTCTGTCAACGCTTCGCGGGCAAGCCAGCAAGGGCAGTTTGGAAGAGGCTCCCGCATTTCAAGGGGTACGATGGTTCTATAGGCTAGGCCTAGTCTGCGTGATACGTTTCAATGTTCGAAGTTTAGAATCATTGTAAATAGGTCTGATTATGTTTTTATATTAAGACTTATGGATTAATATGGAACGTCATTTGGATTTAGAGTAGTGGAGGTTTCGAGGGCGGCTCTAAGAGTTCTGAATACTGCTCACTAGGTCATTGGTTAAAAGTTCGAAGAGGTACCTCTAGGGAATTATAACCAGTCAGTCACATTGTGCAACAAAGTCATCTTGTTGCTAGGGGAAACATTAAGACGTTTCGTTTGAATTATCCACCGGGAGAATAGTATTACCAATATCTAGAGGAGGTTAGCCTAGGCGGAATTGATTCAGTCGCTATATCTGTTACAATGGAAGACTCACAGCTGGCAGAAGTTAAATGTTGAAGCCCAGATGCCCACAGATCAAGGAAACCTCCATAGATATGTGTGGGTTCAAGGTCACTACAATTTGCAACATTATTCATGCACTGTTTAAGAGTGACATCAGTTGATTGCCATTACGATTTACAAATGAGAGTTTCCAATGCTTTTGTGTCTTGCATTGTAATCAACAATAATGAGAGTAGGTTCAGACTGAGCACAAGTTGGGAGCTCCAAGTAATTAAACTTATCAGCAGGAGCGTACAAGTTAAATATGTTGAGAGAGAGTTCCCATATAAATCCAAACACCCTGATACTGTGCTCTCGGTTTCATTATGCAAGAAGTTTAGAGGGAACAGTGATTTTTTAAAACAGATTCCAATGATATTGTAGTCTTGATTTAATCAACAATAATGAGATTAGGGGTTGGGATCAAGGGACTCCAGTAATTAAACTTATCCATTAAATCAAGGAGAGAGAGCCCTAAACCACACGGATATGTCAGCCCTGTTTTGTGCGGATTATGGGAAGGATTGCTTTAATATCGGAACGGAGCACAGATCAAATTGGTTACAATCAAACGATCCAATTTAGTAAGGAACCTTTTAGGGTGATTTGTAGACACACAATATCAATGGATTCAGTGGTTACTTTATGATGCAGGTCAGAAAATCTTTTTCTAAGTGACGCAATATTCCAACTTAAAATGGATAATTTATACGAGTTTGGTTCATTATAAAAGTCCAGGGATAGTATTCAATTTCTCAGCAAAATGAAAAAACTTACTAAGAAGAGAGAGAGAGAGAGAGAGAGAGAGAGAGAGAGAGAGAGAGAGCACGACACTTGTGACATTAAATACATCCAGTTTATGCAATGTAAGATACAACATTACATTTTACATAATAAATATCTCAAACTTAAAACTTTTAAACATTCCTTTCCTTTACATATTTTTTAACTAATTTCACTTATTTTTTATTGAATTCTAATTAATTTATCAAGAGGGAGCGACAACATAACAAAATTATAAACCGTAATTAATTTTGAGTAGGTGACTGCCATGGTGTGTTTCCAGTGGTGGTGTAACATGAGTGTTTAGTGTAATGTGGAGATACTTTGTGTCAGCCACACGGCGACTGCCTCACCATACTTCACCACTGACTGAGGAATGTGTCAGCTTTGCAAGAGGACTTGCTATAAGGGCGAGAGTACCTTAGGAGGGGCAGCAGGGAGTCTATGGCAGCAAACAGCAGTAGCTGCTGCACCAGACACTACACATAATACTTCCTACACAACCTACCACAAGTCCAAGAATAACATCTATAATATCTTGGAGAAAATGCCCAAAAAGGTAGTAATTTCCATCGTGTAATGAAGGTAAATGGTAGAATATACTGACCTAATGGAAAATAAATTGACTTTGCCCACACAGTCGGCGTTATAATAATAATAATAATAATAATAATAATAATAATAATAATAATAATAATAATAATATCTATATCTATGTTCTATGACCCTTATGGGTTTAGCGCATAATTATGATTATAATAACTATCAAGAAGAATATACAAATAACCCGCACGTAAAGAAAGAAACATGATGACTTTGATCTGACTTAGACCATTAACTAGTCAATAATAATAATATTTTTACAAGTACAATGTATACAGTCCTAGCTGACATCACCGACGTACTGCTATATAGAAAGCCCCTTGTTATGCACAGCACTTCGAGCAGGTTAGGTCAATTTTGTCCCAGGATGTGACCCACACCAGTCGACTAACATGCGAGTGGCCATTTTACTGATGGGTGAATAGGGACAACAGGTGTTTTATTAAAAGACGTCCTAATGTTTTCCAGCTGTACTAGGGGGATTGATCCCTGGACTTCAGTGTGTGAGCTAAGTATGCTAGCAATTGAGCTACAGGACACTGAAACAGTTATAAGTTTCTTTCTCCTATGTGCAGGTTATGTATCTATATACAGTGGAACCTTTGGTTACAGCCATAATTAATTTCAAAACTCTGGTCATAAGCCAATTTGGTCGTGACCCAAACCTAATTTTCCCATTGAATTGCATGTAAATACAATTAATCCCATTCAGACCCCTATGAACTGTATCAAAACATTACAGAAGTGAGAGACGACAGTATCATTCATCATGTTCAACAGTCTTCGTAACAGTTTCGTTGGGGTGGTTCTTCTCAAAGAAATCCTGGCACTCGTTCCATTTTTCTGTGACTGCTTTTATCACATCACATTTAATCTCCCTTTCCTCTTCTTCCTCCAATGACTGCTCCTCAGTGAGCGTCTTATGCTGCTCATTCTGGAGTTCAGCGAGTTCATCCATTGTCGGTTCCTCCTCGTGATCCTTGACCAGTTCCTTAGTGTTGTCACTGTTGACTACAAGACCCATGCTCTTGCCCATGGATCCGATCTCCTCCACAACAGAGGTCTCAAATCCTTTGAGATCTCATTCAGGAACGCATTCAGGCCAGAGTTTCTTCCATGCTGAATTCAAGGTCCGGTACATGATGCCTTCCCAGGCTTTGTCAATGAGGCTGATGCAATGCACAGTGTTGAAGTGGTTCTTCCAGAACTCCCTCAGTGTCAGAGATGTCTCCTCGGTCACATTAAAACACTTGGTGACGAGTCCCTTAATGTACAGCTTCTTGAAGTTGGAGATCACTTGCTGGTCCATGGGCTGCAGAAGAGGAGTCGTGTTGGAGGTAGGAACTTGACCTTAATGAAGTCATACTCGATGTCCATATCGTCAGCCAAACTTGGAGGGTGTGCTGGTGCATTGTCCATCAAAAGAAGGCACCTTTCAGGCAGAAGATTGTCGGCAAGATATTTCCTTGCAGTGGGAACAAATGACTCGTGCAGCCATTCTAAAAGCAAGTTCCTTGTGACCCAACCCTTTGTATTCGCCCTCCACATCATGGGCAGTCTGACCTTGTTCACATTGTGCTGCTTGAACATACGAGGATTCTCCAACTGGTAGATGACTAGTGGTTTAATTTTTAGATCTCCACTTGCGTTTGTGCATCTGTCCTTCATTGGCTTGTGACAAAGTATAGCCTTCTCCTCCTGGGTTATGTAGGTCCTCTTCGACATCTTCTTCCAAAATAACTCAGTCTCATTGCAGTTAAACACTTGTTGCGAGACGTATTCTTTCGCCTTCACGAATTCAGTGAAATCTTTTGTGAATGCTTCCACAGCAGCAGCGTCAGAACTAACAGCCTCTCCATGCCTTACCACACTATGAATGTGACTTCTCTTACGAATCTTCAAACCATCCTCTACTGGTTTTAAATTCATCACTTTCTGCTCTCATAGAAGGGTAATTCTGCCACAAATCACTGTGTATCTTCCTGGCTTTCTCGCATATGATCACCTCGCTTACTCTATCACCTGCAAGTTGCTTCTTGTTCAACCAGACTAACAACAGTTTCTCCACCTCTTCCAGCACTTGAGGCCTCTGCTTGGTTAACATCGTACCTCCCTTAGCAACTTTAGCAGCTCTAATAGCCGCTTTCTGCTTCAGAATAGTCGAGATTGTAGACTTCAGCTTCATGAACTCCTCAGCAAAGATTGGTAACATGCACACCACGCTCGTACTTTTCAATAATTTCCTTCTTCACATCTATTCAAATTTTCTTCAAACCCTTCTTTTTACCCACATTACCACTCTTCGCTTGCTAAGAAGCCATGGTTAATTGAAAAATGAATTAAAAAACACACGAAATACAACACAAGGAGTTCACAGCGAATGAGCACATGTCTGACCAAGACTGACTACAAGGCGAGGTGTACACAAACAACAGGAAGTGGGGAAAATTGGTGTGTGCGAAAAAATGGAGCAGAATGTGAAAATTGGCACGGCTGTGTTTGTTCTGCCAGGCACATGACATAACTTGATTCTAACCATTGGCTCAGACATACTATAAAGATAAAGATTTTGTTTCTTTGTAAAGGTTACACTGTGTAATTACAATTTTGGTTTGCTAAGTACACCTACCATCCGACTTACGACCGAGTTCGGTTCCGAGAAACCGGTCGTAAGTCGAAATGGTCGTAAATCGAACTTTACTACTGAATATCAACAAAACATTTTTGTAATGACTTTATTTTATTGTTTTATTTTGGTATTTCATGTTTTACTTTACTTTTTATGCTGTTAGTACTGTATTTTATACTGTAAGGTTTAGGATAAACACTGTGTACAACACAAATAGTTGTTTATTTCCCAGAAATTTGGCATAAAAAACACGGTCGTAAGTCGAGTGGTCGTAAGTCGAGCAGGTCGTAAGTCGGATGGTAGGTGTACTAAGAAAGCCTCTATCATGCCGAGGCATTTTGGGCAGACAAATCCTAGCACGTAATAACTACTTTAATCTAGACAAGATAAAAGTGGTTAACTTGTATTAAAATCTTTATTTAATCTTAATACTAATGCATGGTAGCCAAGGTGGAGGTTTATAAGAATAATAATCTTGAAGTTGCACATAATAACAATATGTATTACAATTAATTGTTCAAACAGTAATATTTCATGGATTGGCAGATGTTTAATAGACTAGAGTTCATATAATATAATATTTGAGAGAGTTGCTTTGAACTGATTAGAAGTTGTTTTGGTTGGTTTTATTAGTATTGAGAGATGAGGTGATTTTTAAGCAAAGTCCTAAATTTATAAGTAGTCAGGGGATCCTTTACCGGTTCAGGTAGTGAATTCCAGATCTTCTGGCCCTCTCTGTGCATTGCATTCTTGCATAGTGTGAGACTGACACTAGGGACATTTGCCTTATGCCTTGTATTGTGACTGAGTGATTCTGTTGTAGCTATCAAGGAGAAGTTTAAGTGGAGGGCTTACATTGGAGTTTAATGTTTTGTATATGTAGTAGGCAAAATAATATGAGTGTATGTCTTGTATATCTAGTAAGTTCAGACTTTTGAAAAGTGGTGGGGTGTGCTGTCTGGCACAGGAGCTGGTAATCATCCACACAGAAGTTTTTTGTTGGATTACTAAAGGTTTAAGGTTCTTGGCTGTGGTTAATACCCAGGCACAAATACCATAGGTGAGGTAGGAATATATTAAAGAGTGGTATAGGGTAAGGAGCGTCGCTTGGGGTACATAGTATCGTATCTTGGAAAGGATGCCTACTGATTTGGAAATTTTCTTGGATATGTGGTGGATGTGGGAATGAAATTTAAGATTGCAGTCAAAGAAAAGACCTAGAAATTTACCCTCAAGTGTCTTTGTAATAAGGAAACCATTGGTCGATATATTAAGTTGGATATTTAAGGCTCTTTTTCTAAACAGCATGAAGTATGTTTTGTCTATGTTGAGAGTGAGTTTGTTGATCATCCAAGTATATATTTTTAACAGCTTGTTGTTTACAGTGTCTAGCTGGGTTTGAGTGAGAGTAGACATAAGTACAGTGGAACCTCAAATATCGAACTTAATCCATTCCAGGAGTTCTAAATTCGAAAAGTCTGAAAAGCGAAGCAATATTTCCCATAAGAAATAATGGAAATAAAATTAATCCGTTCCAGAAACCCAAAAATATTCACACACAAAAATACATTTTATAGAGATTAATTATAGTTTTACATACATACAAGAAATATAGTGTTCAATTATGTATTAATAAATTTAAATAAACATATAAAATAACATTTTACTTACCTTTATAGAAGATTTGTGATGGCATCTGGAAGATAGGGAGGAGGGGAGAGGGAGTTGGGGTTAGTATTTGGAAGGAGAATCCCCTCCATGAGGACTTACGTATCAAAGCCCTCTCTGGGGTTGCTTCCCTTCTGTCTTTTAATGACACTAGCACCAGCTTGAGAGTCACTGGACCCCTGTCTCACAAAATAACTATCCACAGTCCTCTGTTTCTGGTACCTCTTAAAGATTTCCCTAAAATGGGACATGGTTCTGTTACTGAACTTGTTGCAAAGATAGCTTGTTTCAGCTTGCTCAGGGTGGTACGTCTCCACAAACATTTGGACATCATTCCACTTGGACATCATTCCACTTGGACATCATTCCGCTTCTGTATTATTTCCTTCTTCACATCTTTGGTGTTTCTCACTTTCTTTACCACAGGGGTACCACTAGCAAGTTTCTTTGGGCCCATTGTAGCTTATTTCACAGTCCCACAAGCACTAAACACAATGAAATAATCATAAAATGTTTGAATGAGGGCACAGGTTAGTGTTTACTCAAGCATCAACAAAACCAGACTGGCTCACGGTGCCTGCGTGGGGACGCAGACAGAGTGGGCTGCCGGACAGGTCCGGTACCTGGTGGTTCGAAAATAGGGGCAAGTTCGATAATAGGGACAAAGTTGGTTCGAGAAAAGGGTTCTGTTTTCGAAGAGTTCGATAAGCGATACGTTCGAAATTTGAGGTTCCACTGTATGTAGTGTCATCTGTGAATAGAACTGGTTTAAGGAGTTGAGATGCATTGGGGAGATTAATGTAAATGAGATTAAAATAAATGTATTTTTGCTAATATCTCCCAGAATAACAGTTTGTCCAAGAAATACTTATTCCATGGTATACATAGGTTGTATGCATTGTGAAAAGTAAACTAATGCATGAGTTCCACTGAGTAGTAGTCAGTAACTGTTGCCTTAATTTTTTCACTAACTATATTCATTATTAACCCGTTAAGTGTCCAAACGTAGTTCTACGTTCGCTCACGTAGCTCTCCAAACGTAGATCTACGTTTTTTTACATGCTTTCAAATGGAGAAAATCAAGGTTGGAGCACTACGCGTGTAAACGTAGATCTACGTTTGGACAGTTAACAGGTTAAAGGCATGCAGTGGCAAACAGTGTTTTGTTTTGCCTTGGTACATTTAGTGTAAACTGAAAAGAATCTTTTATTTAATAGGTTGATGTTAAATTGCTGCAGGGGATCCGCCTTGCACGGAAGCAGAAGGTGCGGAAATATCCCCCTTCTACTGTGTACCTACAAGTGCTTGGATCAGGCAGTCCAGGTAGTCCAAGGGCTTTATATGTCTTCACAGAGCATGCAAGGTAATATGTCAATATATCTATGACTGTGAATTTTCTGTGTTAAAGCTTCTTGATCCAGACATTTGGAACTGCCATCTCTTTCCTTGGAATAAATCTGATTGCCTCCCTTTCCCCCTTGATCTGTATGACTCCTTTGGGTTTAGTGCTTTCTCCATGAATGTAATAATATGTCATTGTTATTAACCCCTTGAGGGGCAGTGCCATAGATCTATGGCTGTACGTTGAGGGTCCAAACCGTAGATCTACGTCATGAGCTCAGCTCACTCTGATAAGCTGTGAGCGGTAAATTTTGGCCTTGATATGAGAGAATACATCTATGTGGTATGTGTGCACCACATAAAACAAATCCTGCAGCACATAGTGCATAATGAGAGAAAAAAAAATGAGACCGTAATTTTCGATTAAAACAGCGAATTTGCAGTGTTTTTTCGAATGTTTTTTATAGTTGTGTTTGTGATTTCTTGGTCTCATTTGATAGAATAGAAGACATATTACAGAAATAGAGATGATTTTGATTGGTTTTAGTACTAGAAATGGCTTGAAACTGAGCTCAAAGTAGTGGAAATGTTAAATTTTTGCCGATGTTAAGGAGTAAACAAATGACTTCACATGGTTTATATTTCCGTGGGATGGATTGTGAAGGACCTGCCTGGTATGGGCCAACAGGCCTTCTGCAGTGTTCCTCCTTTCTTATGTTCTTATGTATGTTCTTATGTCTAATACACGCCTGCTGGTGGGTCTGATATACATTCACAAACGTGGTGATATTATTTATACAATTATTACAATATTGCATAATAGTAAATCTTCTATTTTTTGGTTTGAATAAAAGTTCATTATGTGAATAAATAATCAAAATGGAATTCATTAGTAAAGCCTGAAAACGTAACTAATTAACAGAGGAAATGTTGGTTTAATGCCAGGAATGCCTGCATTGTTTATTCTGGACCCTATTTTGAAATTGGAATATTTTGAACTTTGCATTAAATTGGCCAAATTATCAATTTCCGATCACTTTATTTTGTAGTTGAAACAGTTGACTTGGCAAATTCTTGTGCTGAATCGATAGAATAGAAGTAATACTAGTGAAATAGCTAAGAATTTGGTCGACTGGAATAATGTAATTGGCCTAAAATGGGAGTCAGTCCATAAAATCGCCGATGCATAAATATCGCTGACACATCAAAATTCGTGAGAGCATAATTTCGTCAATTTTCCATCAAATTTTGTACTTTTTGTTTTATTACCTTCAGAAAAACATTCTCTACCATTCCATAAGAAAAAATAACAAAATTATTTTTTGAAAATTCTTGGACACTGGTGCACCCTTTGAAATTTGGCCTCTGGACCCTGAAAGGGTTAAACACATTTTGCATGGATAGATGGTCATTATGACTGGATTACGAGATGATCAGGAGTATTGTCTAATAGTTCATTTTAAAAAATATGGTATGTACATGTACTGTATTTCATATTTTATTCATGCCAACACTCATACAACAGTGGGAAAAGAAAGGTAGAAGAGTGTATAAAATAAATTAATATAGCATTTCAAAATCTACTGAATAACTTAGTATGCTGGGAAATTTCTTACTTCATATAGTGCTGTTAGGTCAGCTTAACCCGTAAACGGTCCAAACGTATATACACCTACCATCCAACTTACGACCTGCTCGACTTACGACCGTGTTTTTTATGCCCAATTTCTGGGAAATAAACAACTATTTGTGTTGTACACAGTGTTTATCCTAAACCTTACAGTATAAAATACAGTACTAACAACATAAAAAGTAAAGTAAAACATGAAATACCAAAATAAAACAATAAAATAAAGTCATTACAAAAATGTTTTATTGATATTCAGTAGTAAAGTTCGACTTATGACCATTTCGACTTACGACAGGTTTCTCGGAACCGAACTCGGTCGTAAGTCGGATGGTAGGTGTATACGTTTTTTCAACATTTGAAAGTATGTAAAAAAGTAGATCTTCTTTTTGTTTTTCTACATTTGAAAATGTGTAAAAAACTTTGATCTACTTTTTTTTTTGTTATATTTGAAAATATGTAAAAAAAACATAGATCTACTTTTGTAGCACTACACATGTGAACGTAGATCTGCTTGGACCGTTTACGGGTTAAATACCTATGAAATTGTATTGGGATGAGAGTAAAAATCAAAACATAAGACTAGAACTGCTCTTGTGTATGCAGGTACAGTAGTGAACTAAAATAACTTTGGAAAATTTAAATTGCTTCACAAATTTTGCTAAACTGAAGACAGTACAAAAAAGTCATTATACAGATTAGGTGAGATTAATTTTTTTTCATGAATGAATTTTTTTTTTCTGGTATTACTAGCTTATGGCAGTCTAAGGTGTAACTCACTATTATGAGGTTTTTGTATAATCTGTAATGAGAGTACTGTTATGGTTAGACACACATGAACAAACAGTACAATTTACAATGGAAACGTTTTGGTGCTGGTACTTTGTTTACTCTGTACATGTCCCAGGACTATAAAGTTTCTCTAATAAATTGTCATAAGCATTTGCTTATTATTTTTAACCACATCTTGTTGGTATTATGTAGTACTTGGAAATGGGCATTACATAAGAGTATGTCCTCAAGGAAGGACATTTCTTAGAGTAACCCCTTCAAGGAGAGTTGCCTTGATTCCACTGAAGTGCTCTTGATCCAGGGGAATTAGGGCTATCTTCTACTTCTTGGATCAAACTTTATTGTCTCCTGTTCCTATGCTCTCTATAACTCTTATGGGTGTAAAGGAAGTGCAGTATTAAGTACTGTGTGCTGTGTGGATAGAGAGCCGTGCTCAATATATTTTGTATTACTATTTTATAGATACTTGTTCAACTGTGGTGAGGGCACCCAGAGGCTGGCCCATGAACACAAAGTGAAGTTAAGTATGATGGAGCATATTCTTGTCACCCATAAGTCTTGGGAGAATGTTGGTGGTCTTCCTGGTGTTTTGCTTACCTTGCAAGATACTGGGGTTCCAGAAATCTTCCTTCATGGGCCTCCAGGCATTGTAAGTATTGCAGTAGTTCTCATTAATTTTAATACTTATAAATAATGAATACGTATCAGTTTCACCCATGATCTGGGTTTGTTTATATATATGAAATTAGTGCCTGTCTTTTTTTATGGGATGTCTCACTTAATTGGTGCAACTGTGCAGGGATGTTTCCTGATGAACATAAATTTATAGCTAATGTTATACAGTGGACCCCTGGTTATTGGCTGGTTCAGTTATCGGCCAACTCGGTTATCGGCCGTTCTTTTGGCGCCCGATTATCGGCTGTTAATTCGGTTATTGGCCATTTGGGAGGCATCCATCCGCTGGCTGGGGCCACTTGTGAGTCAGTTTGGCTTTGTCTCTGGGCGAGTGAGGAAGCTTCTGCTCATTCATCCAAACATTTTGCTATAATCCATTGTTTTTTTCTGGTTATTGATTGAGTACAGCTGCAAAATAATCAACCATGGGCCCAAAGAAACATGTTACATAGTATATGAAAACATGCAATGTTTATATGTGATGTATATTTAATAATTATCACTGGTACATTAAATTTCTTATTTTACGTTAATATAGACATTTTCATTAATTCATCAATGATATTTTCTTCAAAATTATATAACAAACACGTTACATACGTAGCATATAAACATAGCATATAAACATGCAATGTTTATATGTTATCGAGTGGAGAATGGGATGGAGAGTAAACATTACGTTTTCTCCGATGCAGCGTTAGAGAAAACTGTGAATCTGGTGACTGGTGCAGTAACTGCCCTTCATATGCGTTTGTTTACAATTCTTGGCATGAATTATTCATTACTTCTCCCTTTGTTTATGATGGCATCTAAAGGTAGTTGTTAGAAATGATTAAACTCAGTGAACATGGTAATAATATGGCTGTGTAGTGTAATAATATGGCTGTGTATTGTAATATAGCTGTGTAGTGTAGCCCGGGGAGGGGGGAGCTACATACGTGTACTGTACCTACATCTACTGCTACCTACACTGACTTCCTACAAATAAATACTACTCACCTCTTGCCCTACATTAAGACTACAAATATGTATTTTAAGGTTAGTAATGAATGTACTGTAGCAGTAAATGACAGATTAAAGAGGTGTGTGCAATGTGGACTAGGGTGCAAGCTTTTGTAGAGAAATACCACCCTGACCAAACTGAAGCCATATCTGCAACATGTTCAGTGACAAAACCCTGTCCCACTTCAGGGAAATCTTAAAGAGATGCCAGAAACAGACCTCTATGGACAGATTTGTTGTGAGACAGGGGTCCAGTGACTCTTAAGCTGGTCATTGTAGCATTAAAAGACAAAGAAAGGAAATAACCCCAGAGAAGGCTTTGCTACCTAAAGTCTTTATGGAGGGGGATTCCCCTTCCAAACACTAACTCCTCCCTCTTTCCTATCTTCCAGAAGCCAGCATTAGCCTTCAATAAAGGTATGTAAAACTTACATAATTGTTAAAAAAATTATTTTTTTTTGTGAATATTTTTGTCTGGAACGGATTAATTGTATTTCCATTAATTCTTATGGGAAATATTAATTCGGTTTTCAGCCATTTCGGTTATCGGCCAACCTTCTGGAATGGATTACGGCTGATAACCGAGGGTCCACTGTACATGCATGCAAAATTCTTTACATAAATTCCAGACCTTGTTCTTAGTTTGCTGCTGTGCCACATCATAGGGTCTCTCTGTAGCCCAGTTAAAACAAATCTTGAAACCTTAACTTTTAAAATTCTTTAGTTGCATAACTTCACACTATTGTCACACTTAACTGTTTTGTCTATCTTTCTTCTTTCTTTCAACAATCCGGCTGTATCCCACCAAGGCAGGGTGCCCCAAAAAAGAAATGTATACAGGAGAAGGGGTTACTATCCCCTTGCTCCCGGCATGTTAGTCACCTCTTACGACATGCATGGCTTACGGAGGAAGAATTCTGTTCTACTTTCCTATGGAGATAAGAGGAAATAAACAAGAGCAAGAACTAGTAAGAAAATAGAAGAAAACCCAGAGGGATGTGTATATACGTATATGCTTGTACATGCATGTGTAATATGACGTAAGTGTAAGTAGAAGTAGCAAGATGTACCAGAAATCTTGCATGTTTATGAGAGAAAAAAGACACCAGCAATCCTACCATCACTGAAAACAATTACAGGCTTCCGTTTTACACAGGATGGTAGTACCTCTCTGGGTGGTCGCTGTCTACCAATCTACTACCACAAGATGGTAGTACCTTCCTGGGTGGTTGCTGTCTACAACCTACTACCACAGGATGGTAGTACCTCCCTGGGTGGTTGCTGTCTACCAACCTACTACCACAGGATGGTAGTACCTCCCTGGGTGGCCGCTCTCTACCAACCTACTACCACAGGATGGTAGTACCTCCCTGGGTGGTTGCTGTCTACAACCTACTACCACAGGATGGTAGTACCTCCCTGGGTGGTTGCTGTCTACCAACCTACTACCACAGGATGGTAGTACCTCCCTGGGTGGTCGCTCTCTACCAACCTACTACCTTGGTTGTCTATAAATATTTAACTAATTAAACAAGTTAACTATCAAAAATGGTACAGTGTATAATACCGACAAGTTGATAAGTAAGACACACGTGCAACAGTTAGGTATCTTTGTTGTGAAACGTTTCGGAATAAAGGTACCTAACTGTTGCATGTGTGTCTTACTTATCAAGTTAATTATCAGTTATAATCATTTTTAAATCATCATGAGTCTTTATTGTTTAGTTGATATTCATCTTCTACCGACAAACCGGCCATAACCCACCGTGTTTAGTAGATACCACAATTTTATACAAAAACAGTAATACCAAATTAATAATTAAGGGTTTAAGACATGAATATGTGAATTCCTTCATAATAAGTGATTTGAATTTGTATGTGGGAGATTAAAGTGTATGAATATTTAACATAATCTTAGATGGGATTTTTGTACTTAATGTTTTAAAACACTAATGTGTTTGATATACATTTAGGTAGTCCAGTAACCAGCCCATGAGATCACTGAGTGGGAGAGGGATTGCATAGTCAGTAAAATGCCTTCTACATATTATGGGGTCAGTTTACAGACACTCCTGTCAACCTTGGTACCCTTTAAAGTCGAGTTCTACTTCAGTCCTGAGACTTTCCCTGACCTTGTCAATGCCCTTTCTTCAAATCTCACCTCATCCAAAATGGACGACAAAATAGTCACCAAACATGAGACAGCATGCTCCACAACAAAGAATCTCCAAGCCACTTTACTACAGCAGAAGATGGACGAGAATGCTATCCTTGAGTTTATTCTAAAGCCAGTAGGAGTGTTATTTACATAGTGATAGAGACGGAGGCCTACCTTGGCTTTGTACAGTTAGCAAGATAATTAAAGAATATCTACCTCAGAGCACATCCATACACAATGCCTGGGAAGAGATTCGAGAGTTTCACTACTCTAACAGTGTATATTGCTTTTAGTTTTTCCTTACATTTACATCTTTCTCTCCCCTATATTCTCTGCTTTTTTATTCTCCTATTTATACATATCCTCCAAAATCTTTTTATCAAACCCAGCAGTTATGGTATATTTGATTTCCCATATTTTATGCTTACACATTCTAAACCTGTTAAACTATTTTTTTTTTTTTATCTTGCTCTTTATCTATACATGTGATGGTATTGCCATTATTTCATGTACTGTAAGTGTGTGTTGCCTCCCAACTTTTTAAAAAAAAGCATGTACAGTATAAGATTTTGTAATTGATATAATTATTTTCCTTAGGACTCCCTCTATTATGACACTCGAAACTTCATGAAGCTTAGGGATCTCAGCATTGAGTATAAACATTATGCAGAGAACAATGGTCTCTTTGGTGAAGGCACTCATCCACTCATCATCCGGTGTGTTCCTCTTTGGGAAAAAAACAGAGAGACTGCAAATGAGGGTAACACAGTAGAGCTGGATGCTGCTGAAGGAGCCTTAGAAGAAGGTAAGCATTTTTACTGTTATGAAAAAAAGGAGGCAGGCAGGGGTATCATAATCTTCAATTATCCTCCTGCTGAAAGTGTATAGTAGATGGAAATAACAAAGAAAGTAGACTTAATTTAACCCTTTGACTGTCGCAAGCCCCTTTCTGAAACTGTCATTCTATGTCGCAAAATTTTTGGAAAAAAAATTATTTTTTCTTATGAAATGATAGAGAATCTATTCCCGATGGTAATGATTTCAAAAGTACGAAATTTGGTTGAAAACTCACAGAATTATGCTCCTGTGAAGTTAACGGTCTCGGTGACATACATGCATCGGCGATTTCGCTGACTTTGAGCCCTGTTTTGGGCCAATTCTGTTGTTCCAGTTGACCAAACTCATAGCTATTTCTTTAGAACTCCATTTTTTATATCAGTTGAGTACAAGAAACTGACCATTTATCTATTTGAACTTCCCAATAAAGTGGTCAGAAATTGGCAATTTGGCCAATTTCATGCAAATTAAAAAAGATGCCAATTTCAAAATAGGGTCCAGAATAAACAATGTAGACATTCTTGGTACTAAAATAACATTAGTCACGTCTCTAGGCCTCTCTTTTATTACTATTGCTTTCTATTTTGATTTTTTATTCATACAAAAAATACAAAATTTACTGTTATGCAGACTACTGCATTATTGTAAAAATGGTATAAATAATATCAGTGCACTAGTGAAAGAATATTAGACTCCCCAGTTGACGTGTATTGGATGTGTGGTGTGATTTGCTTACTCCTGAACATTGGTAAAAATCGATCATTTCTGCTACTTTGAGCTCAATTTCAAGGTTGTTTTCATCGTGAAACTAATCAAAATCATCTCTATTTCTGTAATATGTTTTCCATTTTATCACATGAGACCATGAAAATGAGAAAACAATGATAAATACTACACAAAAATACACTTCAGTGTCAGCGTTTTAATCCAAAAAAACGGTCATTTTTTTTTTCTCATTATGCACTGCGTGCTGCAGGATTTTTTTATGTAGTGCACACTGACCACACAGACCCATTCTCTCACATGTGGGCCTACCAGCTTTCTCCTGCTTGATTTGAAGCCGCTAGAATTTATGCGTATTAATACGTCCGAAACACTGGCTCATAAGATGTTTACTACATACGACCAAAACAGTCAAAGGGTTAAGGCTGTTTTGGTTGTGAAGACTTTACAGGCAAAATGCCACCTTGGATAAAAATCATTGATTGTACTTATTGTTTCTAAACCTGTATTGCTCTTCACAGTTTGTGTTTTATTTATCTAACTATAATATAACTATAATACTGGTTAGCTGGACTTGAGTTGTGGAGGCGGAAAGCACGATGCCTGCTCTTTAAGGGAGGGGTTTGGGATATTTGCTCTTTGGAGTGATATCTGAACTGTCGTATCTGAGCGCCTCTGCAAAGACAGTGATTGCGTGAATGATGGTGAAAATGTTGAATGATGGTGTAAGTGTTTCTATTTTTTGAGTCACCCTGCCTAGATAGGAGACAGCTGACATGTTGAAAAAAAATATTATGAGCTTTAAGCAAATTTTAGCTGTCATATATTCATATTCATATATGAATATATGAATCTTAATCCTTTCAGGGTTGGTGCCGTACTAGTACACATAAATTCTAGCGCCTTCAAATCTAGCGAGAGAAAGCTGGTAGGCCTACATATGAAAGAATGCATCTATGTGGTCAGTGTGCACAGTATAAAAAAAATCCTGCAGCACACAGTGCATAATGAGAAAAAAAAACTCCGACCGTGTTTTTGCTTTAAAACAGCGACTTTGCAGTGTATTTTTGTATGCTATTTATGGTTGTATTCTAGTTTTCCTGGTCTTGTTTTATAGAAATTGAGATGATTTTGACTGGTTTCACAATGAAAAGTACCTTGAAATTGAGCTCAAGTAGCAGAAATGTTCAATTTTTGCCAAAATTCAAAAGTAAACAAATCATACCATGCGTCCAATACAACTGGCGAGTCTAATATTCTTTCACAAGTGCGCTGTTATTATCTATGCCATTTCTACACTAATGCAGTAGTCTGCATAACAGCAAATCTTCTATTTTTTTGTGAGAATAAAAATTCAAAGTGGAAAGCAAAAGAAATGTAAGAGGGGCCTGGGGATGTGACTGATGAACAGAAAAAATGTTATTTTAGTGCCAGAAATGTCTGTCTTGTTTATTCTAGACCCTATTTAGAAATTGGCATCTTTTGAAATTTGTGTGAAATTGGCAAACTTGCCAATTTCTGACCACTTTACTGGATAGTTGAAATTGGTAAATGGGCGGTTTCTTGTACTCATTCGATAGAAAAAATGGAGTTCTAGCGAAGTAGTTATGATTTTTGTCGACTGGTACATTGTAATTGGCCGAAAATAGGGCTCAAAGTGGGTGAAATCGCTGATGCGTAAACATCCTCGAGACCGCTAACTTCGCGAGAGCATAATTCCCTAAGTTTTCCATCAAATTTCATACTTTTGGTGTCATTATGATTGGGAAAAGATTCTCTATCATTTCATAAGAAAAAATAATTTTTTTTTTTTTGAAAAATTTCCAACCCTGAGAACAAGTTTAGGAGAGGGCCTGCCAACCCTGAAAGGGTTAATGGATACATGACACCTAAAATTTGTTTAAAGCTCATCCATTAAGCCTATAAAGCCCATCCATTTAGATATTATTCATTGTACTGTAGAATGACATATATAGTATAGGGTAGACTCTTGAATAATGTGTAGTTGAGCAACACGTTTTCATTATAACATGATTGAAATTTTGCGACCCATTTTTAACCCCTTCAGTGTTGGTCCCATAATATTACACCTTTGAAGCCAGTGTCGGTTCCGTAATACCACACCAAAATTCTAGCGGCTTCAGATCTTGCGGGAGAAAGCTGGTAAGACTACATATGAGAGAATGGGTCTGTGTGGTCAGTGTGCGCAGTATAAAAAAAATCGTGCAGCTAGAAGTGCATAATTAGAAACAAAAACTGCGATTGTGTTTTTGGTTTAAAACAGCGACTTTGCAGTGTATTTTCATATGCTATTTATGGGTATGTTCTCATTTTTTGGTCTCATTTGATAGAATGGGAGATGTATTACAGAAATAGAGGTGATTTTGAATGGTTTACCTACTAAAAGTAGCTTGAAATTGAGCTCAAAGTAGTGGAAATGTTTGATTTTCGCTGATGTTCAAGAGTAAACAAATAATGTCGTGTCCAATACACGTCAACAGGTGGGTCTGATATGCATTCATGAAAGCGCTGATAATTATTTATACAATTATTGCAATTATGCAGTAGTCTGAATAACAGTAAATCATCTGTTCTTTGTGTGAATATAATTCAAAATGAAAAGGAAGCATAATGTAAGAGGGGCCTAGAGACATGACTAAAGAACAGAGAAAATGTTGGTTTCTTTTACCCAGTCGATAGAATAAAAAGAGTTCTAGCAAAATAGCTATGAGTTTGGTTGAGTGGAACAAAGGAATTGGCCCAAAATAGGGCTCAAATTGGATGAAATCTCTGATGCGTAAATATCGCTGAGACTGCTAACTCTGTGAGAGCATAATTCGATAAGTTTTCCATCAAATTTTGAACTTTTGGTTTCATTACCTATTTTGAAAATTAGCCTTACTTGATTTTCTTGTGAAATTGGCCAAATTAGTAATTTCTGATCACTTTTTTGTGTAGTTGAAGTAGGTAAATGGTTGGTTTCTTTTACCCAGTTGATAGAATAAAAGGAGTTCTAGCAAAATAGCTATGAGTTTGGTTGAGTGGAACAAAGGAATTGGCCCAAAATTGGGCTCAAATTGGGTGAAATCTCTGATGCATAAATATCGCTGAGACTGCTAACTCTGCGAGAGCATAATTCCATAAGTTTTTCATCAAATTTTGAACTTTTGGTTTCATTACCTTCAAAAAAAGATTATCATATCATGAGAATTTTTTCTGTTAAATTCTTCGGCACTATGAGCAAGTTTGTGAGTAGGGGTCTTGACACTCAAAGGGTTAAGTAGCACTGGAGGACAACCATATAACACATAAATTTGGGAAAAATATTCAATACTTGAGCAAAAGGCAAAAGGGGGGGGGGGGGGTTGGCCTGTACATTGCAGAGTCACTTGTTTGCACAGAACTGCTAAATGCCTCAAATGATGTAGTGGAAGTTTTAGCAGTAAAGGTCGAGAACCAAAACCTAGTCATTGTGGTAGTCTACAAGCCTCCGGATGCAACATCCCAGCAATTCCAGGAACAGCTGTTAAAAATTGACCACTGTCTGGAAAATCTTCCAGCTCCTGCACCCAACATCTTGCTCCTTGGGGATTTCAACTTAAGGCACCTAAAATGGAGGAATATACCAAATAATATTGTTGCAGTAATAACACCAGGAGGCAGCTCTGATGAAAACTCACACTCACACGAGCTTTTAAATCTCTGCACAAAATTCAATTTAAACCAGCAAATAATAGAGCCTACTAGACTGGAGAATACACTAGACCTCATCTTCACTAACAATGATGATCTGATAAGAAATGTCACCATATCAAAAACAATATACTCAGATCACAACATAATTGAGGTTCAGACATGTATGCGCGGAGCCCCAGACCGACATAATGAGATTAGTCATGAGGGAGCATTCACCAAATTCAACTTCAATAACAAAAACATAAAGTGGGACCAAGTAAACCAAGTCCTAACCGATATAAGCTGGGAAGATATACTAAGCAACACAGACCCCAACGTATGCCTAGAACAGATTAACTTGGTGGCACTCGATGTATGCACAAGGCTTATTCCTCTAAGAAAAAGGAGGAGTAGATGTAAAATAGAAAGAGACAGGCGCTCCCTTTACAGGCGACGGAAAAGAATAACAGAGCGGCTAAAAGAGGTCAATATATCTGAAATGCGTAGGGAGACACTGGTCAGAGAAATAGCAAGCATCGAACTCAAGCTAAAGGAATCTTATAGGAGTCA